CGGGTCTGCTGGGGCCCGTCTCCAGCGGACCAGGGGCATCGGGAGGGACCCTGCCACGGCTGCGGGTTTGCTCGCGGTGCCCCTGGTCTGCTGGGGACGGTCTGGCAAAGCCTCAGAAGCGGGGGAACCCGCCGCTGCTGTGGCTTTGCTCGCGGTGCCCCTGGTCTGCTGGGGACAGTCCCCAGCAGACCAGGGGCACCGGGAGCAGCTTTTCTCGCCCCGGAGTTCGAGGTGGCTGACCGCTGCCTGTGAGCTTCGGGGCGAGAAAGCCCCGTTCGTAAGTGCGGATCCGACATAAGTCGGATCTGCGTAAGTCGGGGACTGCCTGTATATAATTTCAGAGAGTCTGTCCAAGAACTCCTCCTAAACAGTAAGAGCTAGGACCACCAAATTCAGTATACAGCTTCCTCTTATCTTAAAGCAATATCAGGGTTTGGTTGTGCCAGGAAGATGGGATGTACCTGAAATGGGTTTCCTGCTCATAAAATTATACAGAGAATCACCAGTCAAGTGAAAGGGATTGGCTGGAGGGGCCACTGGACTGTCCCAGCCTCAAGCCTCTCACCCCTAGGTGCCTTTTAAGGATCGTGGAGGGGGGGTTGAAGCCCCCTCTTACTACGCCTGATTTGTACAGAAACATTGCTGGTTGTTCCCCTTCATCAGGGAACAAGGAGAAGCTGCAGTTTGCTGCATTCCTCCATCTGTCTGGAGAGTGCAAGGGGCAGACAAACTTTGAGCATCCTCAAGTCAGGGACATGCAGCCCTCACCCGGCTGTGCCCACTGGAGCTGCAGCAGCCATGGAGAGGCACTTCTCATCTGGTCCCAAGCTGCTGCGCTGAGTGAGGGCTGGAGTAGTCCTCTCTCCCTGGGGCAATCTGAATACTGAAGCCCTCATTCCCAACCCCACCTCAGAGCAATGATTTAAATGAAGCATGTACCTTTTATTTAAAAAAAAAAAAATGAGTTCAGGACCTGAACAACACCAGGTAAATCTTAGAGTTAGATATAAGCCTTCCATCACTCTCTGCTGCAGTGATTCTAGAACACTTCCCAAAGAGGCACCAGTTTCTTCTAAAGTAAGAGAAAACATTCAAATGCTGTTGTCTATAAGAGAATTCACTGAACGTAAATTTCTGAACAAACAATATCCACATTATCAGATATGGATTATATTGTTTGCTTCCGCTGAGCCCTTCTGTAGCTGTTACCCAGTTAAAAGATTTAATAAGTTGCCACTCATCCATACTTAAGTTGGAGTTTGTTTAAAAATATTTTTTCAAGCTGTTTTGGAACAACTTCATTTGCACTTAAAAGAGAAGCATCATAGAGCTGGAAGAGACCTCAGGAGGTCATCAAGTCCAGCTCCCTGCCCAAGGCAGGACCAATCCTAACTAAATCAACCCAGTCATGGCTTTGTCAAGCCGAGACTAAAGAACCTCTAAAGATGGAGATTCCACCACCTCCCTAGGTAATCCATTCCAATCCTTCACCACCCTCCTAGTGAAATAGTTTTTCCTAATATCCAGCCTAGACCTCACCCATTGTAACTTGAGACCATTGCTCCTTGTTCTGTCATCCGTCACTACTGTGAACAACCTTTCTCCATTTTCTTTGGAACTTCTCTGTAGAAAGTTGAAGGCTGCTATCAAATCCCCTCCTCACTCTTGTCTTCTGCAGACTAAACAAATCCAAATCCCTCAGTCTCTCCTCATAGGTCATGCGCTCCTTATCATTTTGGTCACCCTCTGCTAGACCCTCTCGAATGCGTCCACATCCTTTCTATAGTGGGGGGCCCAGAACTGGACACAATACTCCAGATGTGTCCTCACCAGAGCCAAATAAGTTGGTGCCAGTATATTCAATTTAAGGAAGGGCAAGATGCTTGATCAGAATGGTTTATGTTAAGTCAGTCTTGTGCCATCTCAATCCCATGTAACCTGTAAAACTCTATGGTTTATTTCTCCTATATATAAAACAGACAATAATCCTTCCTTTCTCCCATGCTTTGTCATGTCTGTTTAGACTGTACAGGGCACGGTCTAAGTGTCTGAACATCACACAATAGGGCCATAAGCAACTAGAGGTCCCACTGAAAATACTATAGTATGAGCAAACAGAAAATGTTGACGGACCTATTTTCAATATTTAGCTCTTGCATAGCACTCTTCATAGAACGTGCTTATCTTCAGTGCTATTTTAAAGAAATAACTTCCTTTTTTGCGAGAGGGTAACATCAAGTAAACATTGCAAGGACACGTACTTCTACAACGCCCCCAAAGGCTTCTCTTATACAGTGCAATATGTACAACCATGCTCTATTTAGGTACAAATAGCTAATCCTAAATTGAACAGAGTATGACAAGAAGTACATACAAAAACATTTGTAACAAGATCTACATACAAAAATACTGATCAGATTCACCACTACTATATTTATTATGAATACAAGCTATACAACAATGAGCATGCTCCAACAGTCCAGAAGTCTCATTGAGACTTCATTATATTTTGAGGGCCAAAGATTGACACAGATAAAGTGGCTGATTACAGCCATCTTGAGTTGCATATTAGAACCAGAATATAACTTCCTGCAATATATGAACTTTTGTATAAAATGCAATTCATTCAGAACATGCTTGCTCTCTTAAAGAGAAAATTATATACTACAGGTTGTCCTCTGTTAACCAGGACTGTCTGCCGAACCACAGATGTTCCAGGACCAGAGTGTCCCAGTCCAAGGCTGGGCTGCCGAGCTCCCCACATCTAAAGTGCCAGGTATAATGGAGTTAGGCTGCCCAGCAGGGCCAGAAGCCCAGCATGCAGGGAGTGAAATAGCAGATTAATGGTACTCCAAAAGCGGTGGGAGGGGCCAGGGAAGGTAAGTCAGCAGATTCATGATGCTCCACTTCAAAAGTGCTGTGAAAGTGTAGGAGGAAGAGTGAGGTTCCAATAATTCAGTGTGCAAGAGGTTGTGTCATGAAGGGGAGCAGATAGCGGGTTCACAAGCTGCAGGTGGAACCCCAGTGGACCACAAGTTGCCCACCACATGCCTAAAAACACTAAGCTCAGTCCAGGGTTGGGGGACCATTTTTATGTCAGCAGCTGCGGACTCACAGAAAAAAAAAAGTCAGTCAGGGGCTACATAAGAGAGAGAGAAAAACAAACAACTCCCAAAACAATAACTCCACCTCACTGACATGGCACCAGAATGAGAAGCAAAAAGATTCCCCCACATTTCCTTCATACAGCCCAGCCAAAGAGAATCCAGGCTAGTAGATTTTGTGGGGCAATAAGTAGTGCATGTGGCTCAGATCTGGCTCTGGCTCTCCTGACTCCAGCCCACAAGCCTCTGGGCTCCTCACCTCACAACAGGCAGCTGGTGCTCCAGCCCCACAGGAAGAGCTGTGAGGGGGAGGGGAAGGTGTGGGGTTAGAGCACCACTGTGAGCTCCCCAAAGCTGGGGTGGGGGGGAGCCCAGAGCCTCAGGGGAGAGTTCCACGCAAGCGGGGGGGGGAGGGGGGAGAGAACGGCAGGTTGGGCACCCGGAGGTCTTAGGTTCCCCACCTCTAACTTAGCCCAACAATCTACAACCCATTACCCCCTCTTTTTGTCCTGCAGGTGTTAACAGGCCAGTATACCTTGAATGGTCTCCAGAATACGTGCTAATTACTTATGTTAAACAACCTATTCCATCTTGCATTTAGCTGTCAGGCTGAGTATCGTTCCCAAATCTGAAGAAATGCTCGTGCTTGAAAGCATAGCTGTTACCAACAAAAGCTGTTCCAATAAAAGCTATCACCTTGCCCATCTTGTCTAATATCCTGGGACCAACATTGCTACAAGCTACATTTAATTTAAGTAAATTTTATTTAATTTAGCTCATGAAAAATCAAATATAGGCAATCTGTGCCAGAACACATTTGTTTAAAAAAATGCAAACGCTATGTAAGTAGTACTGATATGTGAACTTTTGTACAAGTCAATTATCCTGAAGTTAAAATTTGTAGTATTAAGAACAGAGGTCACTGTGCCATGAAATAAGCAATCAAGTCTTCCATGTGTTTTCAAGCTGTTAAAGCTAGAAAGAAAAGTCGACAAATCAACATGCACTTTGACCCACCCTCTAGTAGCACAGATTGAAAAACGAAGCACTCCGTACCTACACTAAGATAAAGTCGAGCAGAGTCAGCATCAGCCCCACACTGTTTCAACTATTTCAGAGGCCACTTGACATTTCAGACAGAGCTCTTCGTGCACGAGTGGTAGCGACGAGGGTGCTGTAGCTGCAAGACCAGAAAGGGAGAGAGCAGGGTCTTCAAGACCCTTTTCCCTGTGGCAATCTCCAGCAGCACTCGGCTGCCTCAAAGCAGACAGCCCGCAAGCGGGCGGGTGACTGAGGCAAGCAGCGAGAGCGGCAGCTTGCAGCTTTGAACCCCCTTCCCGCCCCAGCCACATGGATACGCGCCGCGCACGCTTTGCCAGTCCTCCCAGTGCCACACCAGCCTCACAGCGCAGCCCGAGCACCCGCCGGCCAGACACAGCGCCGGGCCTGCTCCCCGCTGGCAAGGGGAGGTCGGGTAGAGCCGCGGCTCCCTCGCCGGAGAAGGAGCAATCGTGCCACGGCCGGGGGCCACGATCCCGCCCCAGCCGGCTCCTCACCAGGCCCGTAGAACTTGCCGCCTTTGGTCACGTCGAAGACTTTGCCGTTGACGGCCAGCAGGATGCGAGGGGTGCGGGCCCCGTCGTACTCGTGCAGCTGCTCCAGCGTGAAGTCCCGCCGCTTCATGCGGGGCAGGGAGGCGGCCTGGCTCTGCTGGGCCGCGCCCCCCGGGCCGTTCCGCTTGCCCCAGCGCAGATAGAGCCGATAGGCCGCCAGCAGCACCAGCACCAATAGCCCCACGTTCAGCAGCATCCCGCCGCCCGCCGCCCAGCCTCCCCCCGCCGCCGCGGGCGGCTCCTCGGCGCCCCCACCTCCCAGGCCGCCGCTGCTACCCTCAGTTCTTAGTTTCCCATCCCCATCGTCCGCCATCACTAGGCCAGCGCCGGCTCCTCCCCATACGGGCATGAGGGAAGAGCGAAGGGGCGAGGCACATTCTGCCCCCTCCTCTGCCCGCTCTGATTGGCCAGCGGCAGGACACGTCACCCTCACAAGCTCGCGCCAAACCCACGAATTAGACTCAGACACGCCCAGTTGCTTAACCGCCCTCGCTTGAGAATCCGGCACGGGGGCGCCAGAACGCGCGCGAGACACGCAGCCCGCTGAGAAGGAGGAGGAGCTCGCGCGCGCACACGAGCGAGACAGACAGACTGGCTGGCTGGCGTTCAGCCCGCCTGAGCTAAACTCATGCTGTTCGCTGGGGCGCGCGCGGGTTTTGAGCTCCTGCGCGAGCCACCGGGCAGTTCAACGGGGGAGCGCGCGAAACGTCTATTTAACGCGCGAGCCGCAGGTGGGCCCTGAACTCATCCTTGCTGAGAATTTGCCCTGGGCGGCTCTTAAGGCGTCGTGGCTACTGCACTGAACAGCCAGCCTCGAGCCCATGGTAATAACGGTGCTGGACAGCTCGGTTCTCCAGCCCGCGGGTGGCTTGCGGATGGCCCTCATACTGCCCCAGGATCTGGCAAAGGACACACACAAGACTAGCACCTGCTGAGCGGAGCAGGGGAGTTTTACAGGGCACAGCTAGGTGAGGGCATAGCTCCACTATTCCAGTCACGAGCACTGCCGTAAGATCCTATCACAGTGCCAATGGGGCATTTAGTGCAGGACACAAATCTTTCTACAGGAAAAAGGCATCACCTGCATCTTTAGATTGGCTTAACTCTATTGATTCACAAAAGTGGCATGGGATCCTCCACTTCAATGAGCATACTCTAAAACAAACTAAGTTCAGTAAGGCAAGTTGGTGAAGTACCTTTTATTGGACCAAATTCTGTTGATGAGAAAAACAAGCTTTCAAGCTTACATAGAGCTCTTCTTCAGGTCTGAGAAGTGTATTCAAAGCATCACAGCTACATACCAGGTGAAACAAAAATTAACACATATTTCAAGGGACCTGCTGTGGCTGAAACCAAACACTACGCTCTGAAATGAACCCACAGAAAGATGGTGCAAGACAAAAGCACCAGCTCATCATTCACAGTTTAAGTGACCTCTCGGGCCTCATTCTCAACCTGCACAATTCCTTTAAAAACACACCTATGAATGTAAATGTATAGCTGGGCTAGACATTACCAATTATAGACTGAACAGTGACACGGATTTATGGCTGATTGCAACTGTCTAATTTACTCAGTCTCCCCTCCCCAGCTTTTTTTTCCTCTCCCGTGACTGGAGAAATAACTGACCACTACAACCTTAAAAGTTCCCTTGAAATATGTGTTAATTTTTGTTTCACCTGGTATGTAGCTGTGATGCTTTGAATACACTTCTCAGACCTGAAGAAGAGCTCTATGTAAGCTTGAAAGCTTGTTTTTCTCATCAACAGAATTTGGTCCAATAAAAGGTACTTCACCAACTTGCCTTACTGAACTTAGTTTGTTTTAGAGTATGCTCATTGAAGTGGAGGATCCCATGCCACTTTTGTGAATCAATAGAGGTAAGCCAATCTAAAGATGCAGGTGATGCAAGCCTTTTTCCTGTAGAAAGAACTTCAGTATCTATAAATTCAGAAATTAATCACCTATTTTTAAGGGATTGAGGAGACTCCTAAACAATGTGAGAATGCTTGCAAGAATAGTACTTTTATAGGAAGACCTTAATGAGAATCTCAGTTACATACATAATAGAAAAATGCATTTTTTAATTATGTATTATTACTGAGCAACTATTTTAGTCTGATTATTACTTCATTTTGTAGTGGTTCATTAAGCTTTGCATGTTTACTGTTAACAGTCACATCAAAATGTGTGTCTTGTTACTTTTCTCCCACTGCTGGGAGTTAGTCGATATGCTTGTCCATGGTAATCACTTTCAGCTTTTCCATGGCTTTTCACAGCTGAATTAATAATTTGTAGGAGCCGGGGAAAACATTGTCATAGGGTGGTTAGTTCTTTTAAACAAAGTATATCCAATGACCCTATGTCAGAACAGATGTTCTCACTTGGCCCAATTAAGGGGATAGAGTTGTACTGGGACTATAAAAAATCATTGAACAAGCTAGTCCCTCAGATTTGATGGAGGGAGTATTTGGTAAGTAAGGGTTTCTAGGGCTGTCAGGAAAGGTAAAGAAAAATTAGGGGTATAGAAATAGTCTTAACTTCTGAGGGAAATAAAATATATTCTGGGAGAATGCTAAAGATAACAGCAAGAGAGGCTTGTTGGTGACCTCCTGTCAAGCTAGTGAGCATGGGTGAGAAATGACTGAAAGTATCTTCTGCAGCAGAGTTATATACTTAACTTGGAGAACCAAAGCTGAAGGTAGGAGAGTTAGAGGGGCTTATCCAGTGATACATCTGGTGATAGTTGACTATAAAAGAATGAGAGGGCTTGGGGGGAGTGTTCCCTGGTAGGATGATCTCCCTACAGAGGCTGTGGGGGTTTCCTCTGTGTGGCAACCCACTTCAGTCAAAAAGTGATGGTGGTTTTCCCAGCAGAGGGACAGAAGAGGATTAAAAAGTAGCCTAGGTACAGTGGAATATGCTAGCATGTGACCCCTCATGGCATGGGATTTTTACTGAATACATGGACTGCTTGGGACTTCTAGCGCAAGTCAGTCCATAGCTTGTTTGATGATAAAGTGGCCGTGAGGAATGGTGGTGTTGAGACAAAGTTTGTGTGCAGTTATTGGGGGAACTCTGATGGAGGGCAGGGGACTAAGATAAGCGTTCCTGGCATGTGGAGCAGTGCCACAGGAGAGTGCTCCAGGTAAGGCTATCATGTTACAAGCAGCATCACTCCTACTTGGCCTTAAGTGTTCAATATTTTTTCTTGTAATATATATATTTTTTGCTGATATATGCAGAGAATTATTTCTCTTCTGAATTATAGTATGCTACATGCACTAAGACATTCTATTTACTTCAGTTTCATTAATCAGAATCTCATAGGAAGGTTATCAGTATTTCCCTTAGTTGCATTTGCAATAAATCTCTAACATCTCTAAAGAGAAGATGGCTTTTTTTCACTATCAAAGTGTCTTAACTAGAACATATGTTCACCAAGTCTTATGTCTGAGTATGCTGCTTGTGGCAACCCTGGGAGGACTTAATTGAGCAGCATAAGTCCCTCACTTTGTAACCCAAACTTGAACTGATGCATGTGTAACCTATGAAGCAGGGAATAAGTCTATTCAACAATTTTGTGCTACAGTTCCTCTCTGATTTAAAAGTACCTTTACAGACCATTAATTTCTATCTTTGCAAGACTCTACAGTTGGATTTTCTATAGGAATCTTTTTGGGTACTTAAAACTAGAAATAATAGGATTCATTTTCTTTTTTGAATCCGGTACAAGTCTTTACTATCATTTATGCATGCATACAACTATTACATTTTAAATGCTTCTTTATAAATAACACAACCAAGAAATATTCTATACGCACAGCAGTTACAATATACCCTACCAAGACTAACATCACTAAATGATGGTTCATTTATTTTCCTTTTAAAATGAAGACTATAACACAGTATAAATCCAAGATATATATATTTATAATAGCTTACAAAATAGACATAGGGTTTGAGATCTTTCATGCTGGCTCGTGTTAACAAAGATTAACTGATGAGCTGTTTAACTGTAAACAGTATCATATGCCTACTTATTACACTGTATAAGCTAGACCCCAGGAAAAGTATTGTTTGGACTCTGGACATATTTATTTCTGAACTGCTGAAGAGGTCTCTGAGAGGGGAATGCCTGCAGAGCCCTACTTTGCCATGGAGGCATTCTGGGATGGCATAGTAACCTACCACAGGGAGGCAGGTGCCCAAAGATCTTTGAGAATATGGAGTCTTGTGTATTAGACTGCTTGTTGTGAGAAACTGCCTTAAAGATAATGGATGGTATAGCTCCCCTTTCAGGATAAATGTAAAAAGCTGGACAACTGAACTCACCCAAGTGAGTTCAGCTCCCAACTAGGCTTGCATGTGACCTATATTGCTACAGGGGTTTCACTATGGGCTGAATGTCAGTGCAGAGGGATGAGTATATTGCTTTGGTAGAGCTCTGTGTGAGGGAGTAGATATGGCTAATACCATGAAAGAAGGCAACAGAAAGCACAATGGCTAGAGAAATACATGTTGAATAATTGAGAGAAAGCTGAGCAATTTGAATTGCATTGCTGCAAAAAGAGGCTTAGAGTCTTGAGCATAGGAAACAGGTAAGCTTCTATTGTGATAAGAAAAACAGGACTTGGTGTACCTTTTTTGTAAATAAATGAGATTGCATCAATTTCTCCTCCTAATAGTAACAACCCTAAGGATTTCAATATTGGTTAACCACCCCAATCAAAGGGATGAATGTTGGTGTGAGAATGGGACCTAGTTTCCAAAGAGAGACTATAGTCAACAAAGACTGAACAAATAATAATAGGTGCCAGCAGAAATTTAAATGGCCAAAGGAATTAAAATCAGAGCTGGAGATTTCACAGAAAGTACCATCCCCAGGTTTCCAGAAAAGCTTGATGTGACCTGAAGGCAGAAGTCTTCAGCATCTGCCTGAAAACTTCATAGTTGCTGCCACAACTTAAGTCCAGCTGCAATGCTTCCAATTTAGAGAGACCTCTTCCTTGAAGTAAGGAAGACTAGAAAATCCTTCTAGTTAATTTTGAATTTGCTAATTTTGAACTGCAGCAAGGACTTAAGGTACTGAAAAAATCACCTGGGAAAATAAATTAAACAGACCGTAGCAAGAGGGGAAGTCAGCCACCTGACTGTGGAGTTGGGCCAGCAAGAGGGGAAGTCAGCCACCTAACTGTGTAGTTGGGCCAGCAAGAACTTGCATATGGGAGAGCTTTTCTAATCCACAAAGGTCCTGAATGCAGAGTTGTGTTTGTCCTGCTAAAATAACAGAAACCTCACTATTTTGAGAGGGGAAACTCCTACGAGACCTTATTTCACTTTCTGACTGCAGAGCTCAAAAAATGATTGGGAAGATCAACAG